CGGCCGGGGGGTGATGCGGGAGAATGCACCGTAGCGCGTGTCTGCACCTGCCCGCCACCGCCACCCGCTCAACCGCCGTAATCGTCTCATCCGTCACCCCATAAACTCCCAAAGTTACCCCCTATCAAGAAAACACATACCTTTCTCGCGCTCCAACACGCACGCACGCACGCACGCATACATACATACATATACATACATACATACATACAAGCAAACAAGCCTCCCGCACCTGTCCCCTAGGGTCAGCGCCAGGTCCATCATGGCGTTCCCCGCCTCCCGCATCACCACCTGGGCGGCCGCGTAGCCGGGGTCGCCCCCCAGCAGCGGGGGGGCGGTGGCGGCCAGGTCCAGCAGCGCGCGGTGGAGGGCGTCCTCGCGAGCCTGTACGGGGGGAATGAAGGTTGCTAAGGTTCCTTTAGGTTGTTAAGCCGTTGTTAAGCCGTTAAAGTCGTTGAAGAGGATTTCAAGGTCTTTTAGTTAAGGTTCATCAGGGGTACTTTGCTGTGGGTCGAGGTAAGGGTTGGCATGCAACGGGAGGGGGGTGGGGGAGCGGGAGGGGGGAGAGGAGGAGGGGGGTTATGGGGTACTTAAAATGGGATATGGGGATGTATGTATGTATGTATGTATGTATGTATGTATGTATGTATGTATGTATGTACGTATGTGTGTGTGTGTGCGCCGGGGGGAGAGGAATGTATGCGTACAAATACATACATACATACATGCACACACGCGCACTCCACACACACACACAGTCCTTACCTTGAGTTCCTCCCTGAGCCCCAGTCGTACATCTGGTTCCAGTCTTCCGTCCTCCGCTGCCACCACCTGAGCCAGGATACCGCTCCAACCCTAAGGGGAGGGGAATGCGTGTGTGTGTATATGTGTATGTATGTATGTATGCATGTTGGGGGGCCCAAGGGTTCGCGAGGAGGGGATAGGGGTGTCTAGGAGGGGACAGGGGTATGACTGGAAAACATTGACGACATACACACATACGCACACACACACACACTCCTTCCCAGTTCCCCTCTCAGTCTCCGAGCTCGCGGCTTTCCTTTCCAAACCCTAAGTCCCCCCATCCTCTGGCATTAGGTGCTTTGGACGTTGGGAGGTTTTGTGCTTCTTGGGGGGGCTCCGCTCTCCCCTCCCTCTCCCCTCCCTCTCCCCTCCCTCTCCCCTCCCTCTCCCCTCCCTCTCCCCTCCCTCTCCCCTCCCTCTCCCCTCCCTCTCCCCTCCCTCTCCCCTCCCTCTCCCCTTCCTCTCCCCTCCCTCTCCCCTCCCTCTCCCCTCCCTCTCCCCTCCCTCTCCCCTCCCTCTCCCCTCCCTCTCCCCTCCCTCTCCCCTCCCTCTCCCCTCCCTCTCCCCTCCCTCTCCCCTCCCTCTCCCCTCCCTCTCCCCTCCCTCTCCCCTCCCTCTCCCCTCCCTCTCCCCCCCCTCTCCCCTCCCTCTCCCCCCTACCTGCAGAAGTGCGGCGCCTCCCCTCAGAGCGGACTCCGCGGCTAACACGCGGGCCTCGAGCGACACCGCGTGGACCTACAGGCGCTCCAGGAGGGGGAGGACGGGGCCAAGGTGGAAGAGGTGGATGAAGACGGGGACGAGGGATAAGCGGAACATGGCTGACGCCGGGCGGCGTTGTTAAGTAAGCGGAGTAAGAGGGAAACGTGTTGGAGGGCGGGTTATGATGTGTGCACGATGGCTGCAACGCCGTAGCTGCCTTCCAAGACACCTTTTGGAGGCGGGCGATGGGAGTAGTGTACCTGGTACCTGGTATAGGTGGGGGATGGGGAAACATAATTAGACACACAACACACGGTACGAGGCCTAACGGTACGTGCTGTCTATATACAAACACGCACACACACACTCTTGCACATACACACACGCTTGTAACAGCACCTGACATTTCCCCCCCTGGAGTTGTTACACTTCCCCCCGTTCGCCCGCACACACCTGTTTCAGTGTGAGGTCCTCCCGCACGGCCACCAGACATGTCTCCGTCTTGGAAATTCGGTCCTACAGGAATGGTATTTTTTTTTGGGGGGGGGGGAGGGGGTTCAGTCGAATCATATAGACGCTTTCGAGGGTTGTTGAGGGTGAGGGGATGTTTTCTCGCCGAATTGGGGCCCTTATGCGGCCGGGATTAGGGAGGAGGGCGGGGTAGGGGACGGGAGTTGACCGGCGGGTATGGCGGGGTTTTACAGCTCAATCCAACATGAGAAAAGGGGGGTTAGGAACCTAGGGAACCTAAGGAACAGACAACCGCGGGGCTGCAGCGGTGCGTGTGAGAGCCTCACCCCCCGAAAGCACAAAACCCTCTCCTATAAACCCTAAAACCCTAGCGGCCACCCCAACCCACCGCATCCATCCCTTAACACCATCGCAACCCGAACCCAAACCCGAACCGCATCCCACGTTGCGTACCTGCAACACAGGCAGCTTCCGCGACAGCTCCTCCGCCTCGAAGGGCCTCACCGCCAGCAGCGCCCCCACCTCCGCCACCTCCGCATTGAGCGCCTCCGCCAGAGTCCGGCACTCGGACAGCAGGACACGTACCGACTGGGGGTGTACGGCGGAGGGCGGACGGCGCAGGGTGAGATTACATATGCTGCCAGGTCATGTGCAGGCCAACTTTATAAAAACCCTAAAACCCTAACTTACCCGCGCAAACCCCCCCCCCACCTTACTTGGATAGACCCGGGGTGTGCCGTGATAGCCTGACATAAGGCCCCCAGTCCGAAGGCCTTATCCGCCAGAATGACCCGTACGGCAGTGGACTGGGCCTCGAGTTGGGAGGTAGCGGGGGCGGTGGCGGAGGGGGGGGCCGGGGGCGGGGCCGGCTCTGGAGGGGATAGCTGCAGGGGCAGGGGCAGGAGGGGAAGGGGAAGGGGAAGGGGGAGGAGGGGGGAGGGAAGGAACGGGGCGGTACACGGGTTTTCTTTACTTTCGGGGTTCGGGGGGAGGGGTGTTAAACTCGTGTCACGGAAGATGCAAGGATTGCCCGACGTTCAAAGCCCGGGGGAGGGGGGGGGTGGGAAAGACGAACCACAAACGAGTGAAGCTGCTGCCAGGGAGGGGGGTGGGCGCCACCACCATCACAATCCCCACCCTACTACACCGCCAAGGCCACACCATCGCCACCACCGCCACCACCACCAGCCGCGCCACCATCCCACCGTAACGCACATTTCCATTGGCATCCATCACCAGCAGCGGTCTCAGTGCCGACTCCGCCGCCAGCCTCTTCAGCTCGGCGGCCAGCTCCCCATTGAGGCGGTGCTGCGCGTCCCGGTGCTCCCGGGCCTCACGGAGCTGGGACTCCAGGGAGGAACACTCCTCAGCGATACGTCTGAGGGTGGGTATGTATGTATGTATGTAATAGGTATGTATGTAATAGGTATGTATGTAATAGGTATGTATGTATGTACATGGGTATGTGTACGCGTGTGGTGGGGGAGTGTTTTGGGAGGTGGGGGAAGGAATGAGGAAGGGTAGGATGTTGGGCCTATATGAGGCAGAGGCAGCAGCCAGTAGAACAGAGAGGGACATGGATGAGGGTGAGAGCGAGGAGGAGGGGGAAGAGGAGGGGGAAGAGGAAGCGTGTGTCTGCGTGTGTAGGTTTGCGGGGTTCGAGTTTGAGACAGTCTTTGCCGAAGTGCATGCGGGGCCAGAGGCCCGGCACTCCACGAGGCGCAAGAAAGCAGTGAGCGCATCAGAGAGAGAAAGATGGAGGGAGAGAGGGTGGGTGGGAGGGAGGAGCGCTACGGGCCCCCCCCCATGCCAACCCACCCCTAACCCCACCCCTCACCTCACCCTTCAACCCCCCTCACCGCATAGTATATCCGCCCCTCCCACCCCTCCCACCTTATCCATCACCCCACGACCTCCACCACACCTCTCCCCCCACCACCACTTCACTCGTGTGTGGTTCGTCGTTCCCCCCCCCACACACACACACCATCACCACCTCGCACCTGATGTGGCCTTGCTGCTGCGATATGACCGCTTCAGCGGCCGTCAGCCTCTCCGCCAGGTCCGTGTTGTTGGTGAGGGCCACATCCAGCTCCGAAGACAAACGAGTGGTGGCCTGGGAAGTAGGTGGAGAGATACATCCTTTTAAGGGCGGCGGTGGGAAGCAAATATAAGATGATATATTAATTGCAAAAAAAATGATATGATAAATAAAAAATATGCGATAATATTTTTATAGAAAGTGCAATAGAAGGTGCCCAAAAAAAGTGCCCGAAAAAAAGTGCCAAAAAATCCATCTACGTAGCGTATGCCGACTGTCGAAGCATCCAGGAAGTCGCAGCGGTCTCCCAACGGAATCAGAAAGAAGACAGAACAGTTGGAACCCCCGAGAATAGTTAAGAGAACAGTTAAGGGGCAACCACCCCAACCGCCAC